CTTCTTCTCTTTCTTTAACTTCATCAACTTCTTCAACTTTCTTTTAATTAACTTAAAAATAAGCAATTTCACATCATCCATCAAATTCTTAAAGTTATCCAAATCTAAATCTAACAAATCTAATAAATCTAATAAATTAAAATCTAATAAAAACAAGGTTCTCAACTTTAAAGCCAATACAACCTTAACCAATATAACATTCTTTAATAACATAAAAATAATCAACCTAAAAGATTTAATTTAATTATTATCTTCTCTTTTAATATCTTTATCATTTCCCTTAACTTAATCCTCCTCTTAATATTCTTCATCCTAAAATCCCTATTCATTCTTAAATCTAAATCATTCATTATCTTCCTTCAACTATTAATTCTACTTTTTTATTAACTAAAAGGTTTTTGATAATTCTTAGAATTTAGTTTCCAATCAATAAACTAAAAATATCAACTCTAATCTATCTTTCTTTATCATCTCAAAATCTTCTTCTAACTCCTTTTCCTTAAGAATTAATTTAACACTTAATTTCAACACTAATTTCCTAGAAATCTAGTTAAACTCTCCTTTTTCCATTTTAAAAAACTAATCAAATAATAATCTTAAGATTAATTAAAATTTAAAGCTTATATATAATTATTACTTAATCAATAATAATGGAAAGATGCTACCATAAAAGCAAACAATAATCAAAAGTATAACATAACTAAATATAATTCTTTATCTTACTATCCCTCATTAAGGCAATATACTAATCTTATACTAAATATCCTATATCCTACTTTATCATATTATCCCTTTATCCCATATAGACAAAGTGCTTTAATACATAATGATATTATTATTTAGCTTTTTATATTTAAGAGTGCTTTCAGGGCTTTATCCATGCTAATAATAATTATTCTAAATTATATTAGGCTATTTTACCAACGTATCATCCCATAAATTAAGGATTTTTTAAATTTATCTTAATAATCTTAGTTTAATCATATGTAAAATAAGGAATAAATTTGATATCTATAAGTTATAACGATATTTTTATCATTCTTTAAATAATTTATATTAATTTTTTATTGTTAAAATGATAGAAATATTAATATTAAAGAATAAAAACTCTTAATATCTTATTTATTAATATTAAAATATATTTATCTAATACCTTTTTTAAGGCTTTTTTTAATATCTTCTTAACATTAATTTCTTTATTATAATTTATCCCTAACTTTTTATTTTATTATTTTATAAATATTCATAATTTATTAATTATTAATTCTTTTATATTATGACGTCAAAGGAAAAATCTTTATTTTTAAACATTAAATAATGTTATTACGTTTTTATTTTAATCATATAATACATTTTTATAAATCATATCCTTTTCTTTATAAAAAAGTTTTTCCGAGAAGATTTAAATAAGAAATAATCTTATCAATAATATATATTTTAAAATAATAATATAAATTATATTTTTTCCATTTATTAATCTATGATATATTATATTTATTTTCTTAATTATCATCTTATTTTTGTTAATATTAATAATAAAATTAAGATATTTAATATTTATGATTATCTTATTAATATAATCTAACTTATTATTAATAATATAAACGTTAAAATTATTATCAAATAAGAATTAATTTAATCTGCCAATCTTAATTATATATATCTTTAAATAATAAAAATTTTTTACCTTTATACCTTAATTTTCTTAAGATTTATTAATTATTTTATTATCTAACTAAGCCTGATTTAGGCCATATCTTATTATCTTACTTTCTTAATATTTAATTAGCTTATTTCAAGCTTTTAATTCTATCCATACTAAGAAAATAACAACATTAATTTTATATTCGATACCTCTTAATAATCAAAGTTTATATAAAATATTTAATTATTCTTTATTATAAATATAATACTAATTTCTTTAATTTTAACTTTTGCTTTTATCTTTATTTCTAATCTTATATTTTAGCTTAAGGTAATCCTTAATTAAATAATTATATTCTTTATAATTAAAGTAAAGAAAGCCTAACTTATTATCTTAATTAAGCTTTTTATCAATGGTTTTATCAGCTTTACCACTTTAGCCACTTTAACCACCATTACATTCTTATCCACATCCATAACCTCAGCTTTATCCACATCCTCTCAAGTTATAAAAGTTATAATCATTTCTTTTGTTAATTTTATTCTTAAATTCTGAATTAAAATCATTTATAACGTTAACAATCTTTATATTAAATATAAATTTAAACATTCTACTTATAATCTTCACCTATTTTACAACCTTCTTTTTATACATAATTATAAATATCATAATTTATTATTATTAATTAATATATATGCCTATATCCTTATATTAACATATATATAACTGCCATTTTAATATAAAATCTACTAAATCCTTCTTATTATACTTTATAACATTAAAATCTTTCCAGATCTTTTTCTAATAAATCTTTCTTAACATTACATAAATTTTTACAAATATTTTTATTATTTTATTATTCTTACAGATTTTAATAACTAAGTTTAACAATTGATATTTATAAGTTTTAATAATGACTTTAACTAATTTTAATTCTCCCTTACTTATTAAAATTATGCCATTTTTAAATCTAATCTCTTTTAACACTATTTAAAGCATATCATAATAGATTAGCCAATTAATAAATCCTTTCAAATAATTCTTTTTATTTAGGGTAAAATTAAAATCATCTTAATCAAAATCTAAATTTAAATCCAAATCTAAATTTAAATCTTTTCAATTCTTTCATTTATTTTTCTTCTTCTTTTCTTTCTTTAATTTCGTCAACTTTTTCAACTTTCTTTTAATTAGCTTAAAGATAGGTAATTTCGCATCATTCATCAAATTTTTAAAATCATCTAAATCTAAATCTAACAAATCTAATAAGTCTAATAAGTTAAAATCTAATAAAAACAAGACTTTTAATTTTAGGGCCAATATAACCTTAACTAATATAACATTCTTTAATAATATAAAAATAATTAACTTAAAAGATTTAATTTAATTATTATCCTTTCTTTTAATATTTTTATTATTTCCTTCGATTTAATCTTCTTTTTAATATTCTTTATCCTAGAATCCCTGTTTATTCTTAAATTTAAATCATTTATTATCTTCCTTTAATTATTAATTCTATTTTTTTATTAACTAGAAAGTTTCCGATAACTTTCAGAATTTAATCTTTAATTGATAAATTAAAAATATCAACTCTAATCTATCTTTCTTTATCATCTTAAAATCTTCTTCTAATTCCTTTTCCTTAAGAATTGATTTAACGTTTAATTTTAATATTAATTTCTTAAAGATCTGGTTAAATTCTCCTTTTTTTATTTTAAAAAACTAATTAAATAATAATCTTAATATTAATTAAAACTTAAAACTTATACATAATTATTACTTAATTAATAGCAACAAAAAGGTATTATTATAAAGGTAAATAATAATTAAAAGTATAATATAATTAAATATAATTCTTTATCTTATTATCCCTTGTTAGGACGATATATTAATTTTATACTAAATATCCTATATCTTGTTTTATCATATTATCCCTTTATGTTATATGGATAAAATGCTTTGATACATAATGATACTGCTGTTTAACTTCTTGCATCTAAGAGCACTTTCAAGGCTTTATTCATGCCAACAGTTATATATTAATTATTATAAATAGTTTTTTTAAAATTAAAATTATATGTTTAAGTTTTATAATAGTCATCATTTAAATCAAAGTAAAGTATTCTAAAAAATGAAATAAAAGTTTTTAATTAAAGTTTATAATCTTAATTAAGCTTTACGCTTTAACTTTTATATATTATAGTTTTAATCAAGAAATATAAAACGAATAAGTAAAATCTTAAATTAATATAATATATGATAATGTTAAAAAAGTGTGTTAACATGGCTATAAATCATGTTATATAAAGTTATATAGAAAAAGTTATATGACACTTTTAAGTTTTCCTGCTTTAACTTAATATTAACATATAAAAAAAAAGATTAAAAAAATTAAGAAAATTAAGAAATTTAAAGAAAGTAAAAGATAAAAATGATTAAAACGTTTTAAAACGTTTTAAAAAAAATAGTTTAAAATATCTTAAATATCCTAAATTATTTAAATTATTTAATAAAAATTGTTAACTTTTATTTATTATCATATATACATTTAATTAAAAGCTTAAGTAAATTTAACCAATTATATAAATAAAAATAAAACTTTAATTTATTATTATTTACTTTAAATATAATGTAAAGTGAACATAATATAAGGATATATAATAAAACTTTCGTTAATGATTTTTTATAGTAATTTTCTCGAACTTTAATATAATATTATCCTTTAAAAAAATAAAAAAAAATAAAAAAATAATTAAATAATTATATAAAATTAATATAAATTTTTAAAAAATTAAGCATTTTTTAACGAAAGTTTTAAAAGAGTTAAAAAAATGTTTAATTAAATTAAAAATTTTTATGTAAATAATAATAAAGTTTTAATTAAGCTTTTAAACTTTATAAACAGTTAAATTAATTTTTATAATAAAAGTTAAAAATGTTTCTTTCTTTTATTGTTTTTTTTAAAAAATAAAAACGTTTTTTTTTTCGTAAACGAAATATTAATAAACTTTATATTTTAATAATTTATGCGTAACGTTAAGTTAACGTTAAAATGACTCGTGCGCGATGGTTTATGTATTATATTTTAATGATTAAAACTTTACGTTACTCGCATAATTTAATTAAATAAAATTAAACTTTTTACAACTTATTGTTTTATTTAAATAAATTATAACAGCGAAGTTATTCGCGTTTTTATTAAAATTTACGTTTTTATAATAACCGTTTAATAAAATAAAACTTTTAATTTTCGTTTATCGTTTATTTTTTTAAAACATATTATACATTTAACTTTTACATACTGCAGATTTAATATTAGCTTTCTGTCATTATAAAAACAATGAAAAAAAAAATACTAAGGACCGAACGCGGGTCGAACGCGTGACCTTAGGATAATAGTATAAAGAAACTGCAATCCCACGCTGTCGAAACTGTTAGCGCGCTGTGTGGATACTGCGGGACCCAAGGAACTACGAACCTCTACCGCTGAGCTACCGATCCGATTATAATCAACTGTTTCTAAACTAACCTATTAAGCGCCGATTCGCATGACGGATAAGTCGTTTTCCACCGGCGGTATACGGTGGGGGTGGAACATCCCTAAAAAACATGCCTTACATATCATAATCTAGTTCAAAGACATTACCATATATTTCAAGCTGCACTACGATCTTTACCGGTATCTACTACGAGTATTCCTGTTACTTACTATTAACCTTCTTCGTTAAAACGCGATCTAGACTAGAACCTAACCATTTCCTGTATCCAGTCGCTGTTAGCCTCTCTGGTTGTGCGAAGGACAAGCAGCTCGACCTTACATCATAAGGGGAAGGAAGGATTAACCTCTCATCCTCTTCGCCATAGATACGGGACGTCAACTGGCTATATCCTTGGATTAGGACGACTCTAAAATGTATAAACTAAGGTGTTTTAGCTAGGATCATACAGTATATTGTTAGTTGTTTAACCCTTTTCCCTCGCAAGGTGCCCCTTACATATAGACCCGTAACCTCCAAGTACCCGCAGTCTAATATAAGAAGTGTAACGATAAACTCCTCCGAGCGTAGGTGAAGTATTGGTCACTGGGACCGCATCCGCTCGTGTACTATCTCGAGATAATAGAACGTTGATTCCGACACCTACCTGTAAGCATACCTTCAATCTATGTGACGACCCTGGGGTTGCTTCTGAGGGAGTCGATGATTCTCATTAATCTGCGGCGTTTGTCAAGTACAGGTTTGCCCTTACGTCCTGGATGATACACTTTCGTCTCGTGGTTCGCTCCGGCAATCATACCAGTTACTTCGTCGCTAGATGGGGGCAATTTGGTAGCGAGTTGAATATATTTAACACCCGCACGCGGTCATCGGGGCAATTCTTCTTTCCATGGCGACTGAGACTTCGTAAAACCCGGCTTAGACTGTTCAAAGGATTCATGCATTGATATTATTAGGTAACCGATGACCGAGAATATTCGAAGGTGTTCGCTTCCATAGCCGAACAGCATGTACAACATGTATGTTCTGTAAACGTTGTCTACCTCTATGGGCCCATAGGTAGCTGCGGTAGTTGTACTCACTGGCGTGAGATGGGCAAAGTACGTTATCATTGTATTGGGTGAGAGGAGACTTGGAAAAATCCGGGTTGAGCGCTCGGGGAAAGCTGGGTATCGTGAGTCGACTCAGAGACTTGTATTACTTTCGACCAGTCGCTATAGATCAATCCTCATAAGGTTAGGCTACTAGCTTAACTCATATCTCCGCTCTCCTTGATCGCCTGAGCAAGGTCTTTCGCTATTGTTGCAGAAGGTTGCTATAATATATTCAAGGTCCCTCTTTGATTCGTAGCCGTTCATATGTATCTGCCAAGGCGTATTCCTGCCTCCTTATCCGTATTAATGTTGCGTCAAGTGATTATCACCCGTGCTACCATTTACGAGCTGATAAGAATGATGCATAGTGCGTATGACTCTTACCAGGAAGCAACAAGGCCACCTCACATGTTGTCTCGTAGCATGTAGCTGGGATCTAGTCTCTATTTTATGGTGGCTACATAGGATGTCAGCAAGGAGGATATGTCTAAGCTGGCATTCATAGTTTATATCGATAGGTATAAGAATATCCCTCCAAACCCCAGCGTCAATATTAATTGTCAGAGGGAGGAGTTACGACTCCTTGCTATACCGTTGTATTACTATCTAGTTTTAACACCAAGCCAATGCGCAGTTACGTCTAGTTGCCTACGGGCTTTTCAGTCCCTAACATGATGCAGTTTCCAAGACGTCAGTTGGAACAAAGCCGAGCCTGGCATTACATCGTAACTCACAATCCTCATGAAATCGCCGACTTTGCATAGTAGAATTGGTTCCCATGCGAACATGGCCTGCATGGTGCCCATTCGTTTTCCACTCTCTGTTCTATTTTTATAATCATCGCCAGGGAAGCATTTTATCCGGTGGAATCTCCCGCTTGTCTCCCAGGTCTTTCCACCACTTACACGGACTCACCTCCGCGCCTGTTTTTAGCTTGGCGAGAGGGCTAGAATGTACCCAAGGTTCTACCAACCATTAATGACAAGCTTGGCGTTGACATCTATGCTACGTTTTCCGGCAGAAAGACTAGCAGTCCTCATGGCATGCCTCCGCTCCGCCCATGCGCTCGAATGAACGGGCCGCTGTTTATTGAAGTTACTTCGGCGGCTCTTAAATTTCATCCGGGCTGGACTCCGGGGTGCATGCTGGATAACGCCTAGTTTGATATCGTTCAACCATCTCGGTTATATAAAGCGTTGCCATTGCCTATCCATGATCCTACGAGATTATGGACTCTGTCTGTGCCAAAACTGGTTCTGCCAAGCTCAAGGTCTATCTCGCTGGATCTCCAAGTACGATGGCTTCTCTCTTCGTCCTGGCGGCGGTTCTCGCCGGCGTAGGGCAAACCTACGCTCAATCAGCCGTGACTGTCAATCTGAACTCCCAACTGCAGCAGATCGACGGCTTTGGAGTATCGCAGGCGTTCGGACGTGCGGCTGAGTTCAGAGATATGCTGTCTGGGGCTCCCCAGCAACAAGGTCTCGACTACCTGTTCAACACAACCACCGGTGCAGGTCTCACGATTATCCGAAATCGGATCGGTTCTGGCACAACAAATAGTGACAGTATCTTGCCCAAGAGCCCGGGTGGTCCTAGTGCAGCTGCGAACTACAGCTTCGACGACGACGACCGCGGCCAGGTATGGTTCAGCCAACAAGCTATGAAATATGGCGTCAAGACAATCTATGCGGATGCCTGGTCGGCACCGGGGTTCATGAAGACGAATAACAATGAAAACAATGGCGGATACCTCTGCGGAACTCCGGGTCACTCGTGTTCTTCTGGCGACTGGCGCCAGGCTTACGCGGACTTCCTGGTCCAGTATGTAAAGTACTACAGCGAGCGAGGAATCCCAGTTACCCAGCTTGGTTTCCTGAATGAACCGGACTATGTGTAAGTATCAAGATTGAACTTCGACTGCGGCAGAATCTTGTTGACATTGGCCTTTGTAGGACGAGCTACTCGTCGATGCAGTCCGGCGCCAATGAAGCCGCGTCATTCATCCCCATCCTGCATGCCACCCTCGAGAAAAATGGGCTCAGCAACGTGTCAATTACCTGTTGCGATGCGAGTAGGCAATTTCATTAATCCGCTCCCCCCTTTCTCCCAGACCCTATGAACAGCGATCGCTGATATCTTGCGATAGTGGGCTGGAACTCTCAGCGAAGTATCACCCAGGGTCTGGTCGCGGCTGGCATGGAAAAATATCTCGGATATATCACGAGCCACATGTACACCGGTGACCCGAACTCGGTGATTCCCACGAAGCTCAAGACATGGCAGACTGAGGCGGCTGATCTTCAGTCCCGCTGGTGTGCGACCTGGTACAGCAGCGGTGGCCTCTGCGAAGGCATGACGTGGGCTAGCAAGATCCATAATGGAATTGCAAACGCCAATTTATCTGGATATATCTACGTAAGTATTCCCCCCTCTCCTTTTCTTTTTTTGGAGGGAACTTGGTGCCTCAGGCGTCGGAGCCTCTTCATTAAGCTTCTGAGGAGTTATTGCTCCCGAGACGTGTTTCGGCTCCCGATATATCTTCCGTGATAGGGCATCTACTGACGTTTGTCGTTGGTAAAGTGGCAAGGCGTCGAGGTAAACCAGTTCCAGGCGTCTTCGTACCTCGTCGCCAGTGACGGAAAGACCCTCACCCCATCCGGACGTCTCTGGGCTTTGGCGATGTGGTCACGATTTGTGCGTCCCGGAGCATACCGTGTCAGCACATCTGGTAGTGTTTCGAGCACTGGCATTACTGCTTTCAAGAACACCGATGGCTCCGTGGTCGTCGTATTCCTCAATTCGGGCGGTTCACAACAGAATGTCAAGGTCTCGGTCAGTGGCTTTACCCCGGTGACCGCCGAGGCCTACGTGACAGACAATACCCGATCCGTGGCCTCCGTAGCGGCGACCCTTTCTGGTGGCGCGGTCACGGCCTCTGTACCATCAAGGGGAATGCTCACAGTCAAGCTGACTGGTGCGGCTTCATAAGTGAGGTGTTAGGACGTTGATATTGTACATATTCCTCGTTAGTGTAGCTGTGAGTAAATATCATTAGTTCGAGTGATTTCGACAGTGCCTGGAGAACCCCCTATCTAACCGTGTAGGCTTGGGACGCCTCTGTCACTGAGCCAGCCAAGTGTCGGCGCCTGGTTGTCCTAGGAGGAAACGCGGTAAAAAACACACAAATACCCGATCGATGACAGACGAGATGACAACCGTGAATGCCTTTAATCAGTGAGCATGATTGTATGATTCGACTTTTGACCTTCTCGTTCGTATTCGATATCTACCATCCTTTCGCTCGAATATTTCCTCTTTAGTCGACTAACCAAATCAAGCTTCTACTACTCGATGCTACCAATATGAGCAGTGATGCTCGTTCGAAACTTCAAACAAGTACAATGTTACTTAATTTTCGAGTGGAGCTTCGGTAGGTCACTACATACCTACATAAGCGTCCTTTTCCATCAGTTATCATATCATTCGAGTTTGGCCTCGTGGCGCAACGGTAGCGCGTTCGACTCCAGATCGAAAGGTTATCCGTTGTAAGTTCTCCATAAAATCCGCAGTCGAAATTCGACTCGTTCTAATAGAAGCCTAGCAAATCGGGTCGGGGTCAATTTCGTCCACAATAGGTTTTTTTTTTTTTCTTTTTTCCTTTTCCTTTCTGGGGAACAATATTTCTGTCGCGTGATCCATATAATAACCACATTGTACCAATTGAGGCAAGTAGGTATCTGGTTAGTCGCGTAGTCTTAAGGGTTATGGTAGACTTCCTGTGCCGTATCGTTTGCTCAAGCAATCTTAATAGAGGTATGAACTATGATACTGAAGGATTTTTTTAAACGTGCCCTTGAAGGTGCGATAGCAAGGCATGGGATTCTTACATAAACACCTCTTTTACCTAATT